TGCATGTGTGTGTGTGTGTGTGTGTGTGTGTGTGTGTGTGTATGTGTGTGTGTGTATTTGTGTGTATGTGTGTGTGCATGTGTGTATTTGTGTGTGTGTGTGTGTGTGTGTGTGAGATAGAGAAATAAGAAAAAGAGAAAGAGAGAGAGAAAGAGAGAGACAAGAGAGAGACACAGAGAGAAACACAGAGAGAGAGAGAGAGAGAGAGAGAGAGAGAGAGAGAGAGAGAGAGAGAGAGCGCCCGTTTTTCGCCTTTGTTACAGTCTTGATTTCAGCCTGTAGTGTTTTGTCGTCTTTGTGCTTGTCGTGTAGTGCATTTTTTGTTTCAGCCTATAATCGGATTAGGCAGCCAGCTGAATTGTTCTAAATTCAATGTTTCGTTAGGAGGCATAATAATATTCTTAAACACATTTAGACTAAGTACACGGTTTTCCCCCCAGCTTACAAAGAGGCCGAGATCAAGGAAGTGGAGAGAGAATTGCAGGAATTGACCAGATACCGTCATGAGTGACCACTACCATAGAACGACAGAACCGCTATCAACTCCTATAGTCCACCAACAAGTCAGTGATACGTCAAACCTTCAAATACTTGCTATACGATCAACGTGGATACTTATTCCTGCGACGGAATAAATTGCGATGATTTTTTATTAGAGTGGTCGTTTGCTGTTTTTCTTTTCTTTCAGGTTACGACCCAAATACTGCCCATTTAATTTTTATTGCAGCAGGCATGTTTGATTATTTGCTTGTTTGTTTGTGTGTGTGTGTGTGTGTGTGTGTGTGCGTTGGTGTGTGTGTGCATATATATACATATATACTGCGCGTGTGTGTTTGTATGTGTGTATGTGTTTGTGTATATGTGTGTATGTATATGTGTGTATTTGTGTATAGTATAAGGTTTTACGGCGCTCGCAACTGCTAAGGTCATATGAGCGCGCGAAACACAAGTTGTTCACTTTTGCAAAAGTTCACTTCACGACTGGTTAACTAATTTACTTTAAAATGCTAAAAAGTTAAAATATTTAAGTTCGGTGTAAATACATTTGTGATTTAAAACAACTCTTTTAAGTAACAACAAAAA